AACCCAGAACTCAGCAGACCATGCATGGCCTGCCCCACGCCTCATGATGTACCCCTTGCCAACCATGCACCAAGCAGTAGCCAGAAGTATCCCTGCCACTGAGTGACACACAGAGCACAGAGCACTGAGGCTGTGGCAGATCTGGGTCGGCTCAGAGGAGCACCTGCAGTCTGGCCAGTCAGACAGTGACCATCCTCCCCTGGTCACTGTCCCTGAGGGGAGAAGGGCGGAATCCAGGTACAAAGCTGAGGTGGCACGAGGATCTGCTCACAGGGCTGGACGGGACTGTGACTTCACAAAAACACACCCAGTGGAGGGGCAGTCTGGAAGAGAAGAAAGTGTTACGTATGGCACACTGGCACTGACTGAGAAAGTTTAAGCCTAGGAGGGAAAACGGAACCACAATTCCAGTAAGAACGGTAAGAAGAGATGAAAACTCAGTGCAAAGAGGACACACATATCGATGAGGAAAGGAAGAGATGAAAAAAAAACAAGAAGTAAAAAACCATGAGACACTAACTATAACCCACGGCAGCAAATATTTGTAATACAGTAAATGTGGTAAAAGCACTAAATATTCATGATATATGCATATGTCTGAAGCTAAATCTACAAGAGGAAGCTGAGCTCGGTCACTGCCAATTACCTATTGATGATAACCAGTTTGCTCCTGTGTGCCAGAGCTGCTGACCAGGTACACAGCCATGTCACAGAATTCTAGAAATCTCTGGGGGCATAGTTGAAAGTAGAGCCCCACCTGCACCCTTCGGCTGGAACACCTATTATTCAGAAAGTCAAACTCCTTTGCCATGCCACTGAGCTCAGCCACCCTGGGAGCTGTCCTATGCGGAATGAAGCTGGGACTAATGTCTCTGCTGCCACCCATGGACACAAAACTCAGGGGCTGGGGGAACAAACCATGGGGGCTTGGGGGACACAGACCTCAGAGGGGAGCAATGGTTCTGGAAGTTCTTAAACTTCAGACATTTAAAAACCACCCTCACATACCAGGGGCAGGAGGAAGCTTAAGCAAGTCAACAACTTTAGGAAGGCCCCTCACCTTCCCAAAAGATCACCTGTGAATTTTCTCCACAAACACCTTAAGCATAAGAAAAACACCTGCGAGCTCCTGGCAGCAGGAACTGTGCAGGTCTCAGAGGGCACAGTGGGGAGGGGCCTTGCACAGCCACCCTCAGCTGCCTGTTCCTGTTCATGCCACTCACAGGCATCATCTGGTTGGCATCTACTAAGCTGGGGCCATGGGGTCAACAGGTCATAATACTGGGCATAATCCTGAGGTCATTTCTCAGAATCAGAAACATGTCTCAGGGACCAGTCAAGTGACCTCAAACTCCAAATTTATTTCCTAGAAGGAGACACTTAAGAATAATCGCATTAAATGGAAATTTCTACTTTCCACGGAGCCTGTGGAAGCCACAGAGGATTGGGGACATTGCCTCTTGTCCTACCAACAGATGACACCAACTGCCCTGGGCATCGGGTGGAAGGAAGGAAACCATCCTAATATCCACAAGGTCCCAATATGGGAAGGCCTCAAAGGCTGTTTTTGGGTAGAATCACTCCCAAGCTCCGTATCACAGCAGGGTCTTCACTTTACACCACGTGGCTGACTTAATGTTGCCTAAAGTCCATGTCCTCCGAGAAGTCTTCCCCAGAGATGCCACCTTCCACACTCTGACTGGGCAGAGTCCCAGGCCTGGGTGTCCGACCTTGGGTTTTCTGTGGGCTCACTGATCTCCAGATGATTCCTAAAGAAGGAGGTAGGCCTCAGAGGCTCTTGCGTTTCTCCTACCGCCTGTAGTAAATGCCAACAGCTCAGTGGATCACCCAAATGATGCAGCAATGGCAGCATAAATAGGGTCGTTAGAAAGATGCTTATTCATGTGACACCACCGGTTGACAGCAGGGCTTCTTAAACTTTTCCCACTCAAGACCCCTTTGGTCTGTGAGATTTTTATGTGACCCCAGGCACATAGGTATATAAAATAGGGATACAAAGCAAACACTTACTGATAAGTTACAAAGAATTTTATTTCGATTCCTCCGCCCCTCTCGGAGAGCCCGGCAAGCTACCGAGAGTATCTCGCCCGCACGGCAGAGCCTGGCAAGCTACCTGTGATGTATTCGATATGCCAAACACAGTAACAACAAAGTCTCCAATGGAGACGTTACTGGGCCCACTCGAGCAAATCGATGAACAACGGGAGGACAGTGACAGTGAAATGATCACACACACACACACATACGGTTTTGGAACCATGACACAATTTAAGAATCTCCACAATAATGCGTGAGCAAAGAACTCTCCCCTACCTACATACAGAGAGAGAGAGAGAGAGAGAGAGAGAGAGAGAGAGAGAGATTTCCAGCAGGCCCTAGAGCTTCTCAGGTGATTAGAAATTCCAGTGCACACAACCCAGCTCAACCTACCCAAAAAGATGAAGAGGAAGAAGAAGCACTTGTCTTGTCTACTATCCCCAGCTAGCTCCTCCCTGTTCCTCCCTACCTCACCGGGGAAGCCAAATCCGCTTTCTCCAAGGATAGGAGGTTTCGTAGAAAAGGTGCTGAAATTCCTCTTACAGAGCCAAGCTGAGCCTGGGCGTGTGTGTCCAGAGCTCAATTGGAAGAAGAGTGTTTGGTGAAAAGAAGCCCTTCCTTCAGGTACTGGGTGGGGAGACCCTGGAGGGGGCGAGTCTCCTGTCCGTGGCCTGAACAGAAGCATGGAGGTCCTGTGTCCCCCTGTGCTCACCAGCGAGGCCCCCTGGAGTGGGATGGGCACCAGTGCAGCTGCCCTTGACTGGGCAGGTTACAGGAGCTGCCAGGGCTCTGAAGAGACGCTGTGATGGGGGCTCCAGCTGGAGTACTGCCCCGTGACAGTCCACTGGGCACTACTCAGTAGAAAGGACAGAAAGCTGATTGGGGGTGGAAAGCACACAGGAAGGGGACAAGCAGGCCTGATGGCAGCAGGAGTCACAGTCCACAATCCCCAGTATGGCAGTGATGTCCTGCTGCTGCCCACTGGAGATCAAAGGGGGGACACCAGGAAACCAGGTCTCAGGGAACCAGGCAGTAATTGAGATCCTGTCACTGAATTCAGAGTTTTGCTTGGAGCAGCAGGTCCACTCATGGAGAAGTTTCCCTCAGCCGATGGTGTGGCTGGCAGAGTTCGGTCCTGCACAACAAACTCAGTGCCAGAAACTTCTCCACTCTGACTCAGATGCTTCCAGAGACCTCTGTGCACACAGGGAATTTATAAGTGTCTGTGCATGACAAGGCACGACACCAACCTCCAGAGAAGAAGCAAGTGGCCGCAAGTTTGCCAGGTCAAATCCAGGCTCTGCAAGTACCATGGAAAACTCACCTCTGGGAGGGCTGTGGGCCTTGCAGTGTTTTCTCCCCTAACCCTGAGTGTTCCCAGGAGCACCTGATGCTGATGGGCAAAAGACACTGGACCAGGCCGTGACTCCTTTTTGACCCTGCCAAGGGGCAGGATGATGAGGACACTGCGGTGCCAGCAGCGGCAGCCAGTGGTGACACAATACCTACACACCAACCTTTGTGTTTCATTTTGCTTTGCTTTGTAAATGAGGAAAGTGATGTTCAGAAAGGTTAAAACACAGGCCAGAGAAAGCACAGTGGGTACGGTGCTCTCCTAGCATGCAGCTGACACCAGTTCCATCCCTGGTACCCGCATATGGTTCCAAGAGCAGAAAAGTAGGTGTAAGCCCTGAGCCCCACTAGATGTAGTCTGACATCCCCCCCCCCCAAAAAAAAGATTCACAGAACAAACCCAGAGCTAGGTGAGACAAGGGGTACATGTGTCACCCAAATTTCCTAAGATCATTTTTATAACGCCTCAATTTAAAACATTGAAATTAATACAAAAGTCCATGTAGCACAAATCTTACCACTTTATATAAAGCCTGGATCCGGATACTGAATCTTCCCTTTGCCTCCTAGATGGGTCATATGGCCCCGGGGCAGTGACAGGGAACCAGGCCAGCTCGCCCCTTCCCCACGGGTTGGGACCCAGGTGCCACAGTTTTAGCCCGTGAGGGGCCCTTAAGAGGTTGGAGTGCTCCATCAGCGCGGGATGGTCTGAGCTGCACTGGGGATCTGACTGTTCATATTCCGTGGCCTTCTGCAAACGAAGAGGAGGACCCCCGCAGGTGTGCGCTGGTGAAGGCGCGGGGTGGGCACAGAAAGCAACCATGGTCAGCAGAACGGCCGAGCCCACCCACAGGGCGTCCTGCTTCCCCGACGCAAGGCAAAGGCCACTTATGCCCCGAGTAGCTCCTTCGGCCCATTCCGCCCGCAACTGCACCCTGGACCGGAGCCCGCTTCCTCCCGCGGCTTGTGCGCGAAGCCCCCGGACCTGTCCGGCAGACCGCGCGCTCCGGGCAGCGGAGACCACACGACGGGCTAGGCTGGCCACCGTGTCCCGACGCCGGGCTCCTGCCCCTCGCTGCGGCCCCGCGCCCTCTGCTCTCTCGCCCCGTCGCCCCACGGCCCCGAGTTCAGGCCGGCCGAGCACGCAAACTTCGGGCACTGCGTGGGCGCGCGCCGGTCGGGCCACTTGGACGCGGGGACCGTCCTCCCGGTCCCACCTGATCCTCGCGACCCCCGCGACCCTCGGGCCACCTGGACGCGGGGAACGTCCTCCCGGCCCCACCTGGTCCCCGCGACCCCCGCGCCCACTCGGAACACCTGGACGCGGGGACCGTCCTCTTCTCAACCTGGTTCCCGCGACCCCAGCGCCCGCTCGGAACACCTGGACGCGGGGACCGTCCTCTTCTCTACCTGGTCCCCCGCGCCCCCCGCAGCGCCCCGCGCCCCGCCCCCCGCTCCCTGCAAGCCCCACAGCCCCGCGCGCCCCGCGCCCCGTGCCCCGCGCCCCCAGCAGCCCCTCGCGCCCTCGACAGCCCCCCGCGCGCCCCCGGTCTACTCCGCGCGCCCCGCGCCCCGGCTGCTCTCCGTACCTGGCGCAGCAGGTGTCCGCAGGGCTGGCCGCCACCTCCCGGCCGCCCGCCCGGCCCTGCTCCCCGGCGCTGGCAGCGGAGCTCGGGGCGCGCCGGCGCGGCTGTGCTCGGCGGGGGCGGACACGGCGCAGCGCGGCTCGGCCCCGCCGCCTCCCCCGCGCGCCCGCCCGCCCCACGCCCGGGACCCCGTGCCCCCCGCCGCCCCCCGCCGGCCGGCCCGCGGGTGACTCATGGCCCGGTGGCAGGAGAGGCCGCTGGCGCCTGCCCCCCTTCCTCCTCCCTCTCCCTGCCCCCATCTCCTCCTCTTCCTCCTCCTCCTCCTCCCCCTCCTCCTCCCCCACGACTGGCGCTCGGGCTCCGGACCCGCCGGGGCTTCGCGGGCCCCGCCAACCCGGGCACGGAAGGCCCGGCCAGAGGCCGCGGGACGGCCAGGAGCTCGCCCGCAGGAGGAGCGTCTGTGGGCACCGGTCAGACCACTCGAGTCTGCACGGTTACTGCCAGATCCCGCGCTGGAGCCGCGCTCTCCCCTTTATCTTTAAAACGGGCCGAAATCCCACTGGGAAGAAGTGAGAGGGGAAGAGGTTACAGGCAGATCTGTTTACTTTGAAAAATAATCCCTTTTGCACAAGCCGTTGGGCTAAAAGCATCCTTTGAGCGTTAAGTGCTTTAAATTCTATGAAAGGGACCAAGACTCTTTACTCAATATCTTCTGTTTACAAAGGACAAGTGACTCAGGATAATGACACAAGGACTTTGTCAGGGTGTGTGTGCATGTGTGCGTGTTTCTTTTCTTTTCTTTCTTTCTTTTTTTTTTTTTTTTTACAAAATCCTCAAGTTAAAATTAACAGTGCCCAGCAAATCTACACATCCTCTCTCCCACCCTGAGCATTTGCTCCTTTCTGTTCAAAAACCACATCTTTCTTGGTTGTAACCACTAAATGTTTATCAAGTCCATAAATTGCCCATTTAAGAATTGCACTTGTTTCCAGAATATCCTAAGCCTCTGGCTTTATTTGTGTGTGTTGTGGGCGGTTTTTGAAGTTCCTGAAGGTTTTGAGAGGACAAAACCCTTTTTTTTTTTTTTTTTTTTTTTTTTTTTTGCGGCTATTAGCTAGAGCCAAGAAAGAACATGGTGTCAATACTCAAAATAGAAAGCGCAGGGAACTTTGTGAATAGGTTAGAAAAATGGGAAATTATCTGGAGGCTGGAGGCAAAAGCACCTTCATGCTTTAAACATGGAGGAATGTCCCTCCCTATCTGGCCCAGGTTGGCGCCCAGGGCCTGGCCATATGCTCAAATAGACTCTTTTCTCCTTAGCCTTTTGGGCTAAACCTTCAAGCTTGGCTGTGAAAAGGCTAAATAAAGTGCCTTACTTTGCCAAAGGTTTGCAGAAACAGACCCCCCCCCCCCCCAACCTCCAGTTTCTTGAATCCTGCGCAGGGAACCGTCAAGCAGAGGGCATGGAATTGGCTCTCCTGGGCCCACCAATGTCATCTGCTTCCGGAGGAGCCCTTCGCTGCTATGGTGACGAGGTAAGGTACTTCCCAGTCACTTTTGAGTGCACTGCACCTCATTTGGAAGCAGTTTGGTCACACTGTTCTGTTTATGATCAGACATTAATTTAAATCATTCCAATTCCCCGGAGCAGCTGATCCCAGCAGACTCCTGTGAGGGCCGTGTGGGTGAGGAGAAGGGCACAGAGAAGGCAGTGCATGAGCAGTCAGGCAAAAGTAGGCAGCAGAGGCCAGAGCAGCACCACAATGGGCACTGCCCACGCTGAGCTGTCTGGACCGTGGCTTAGGAGTCTCACCACTCTCAAAGAGGTGGCCAGGTTGTCAAGAGAGCACGTGTTTCAACTCTTGATGCTTATGTGTTAAAATGTTTCCTTCTTCAATTATTCATGATACGGTCTGCATCAGCATCTCCATCACAGCTAGTAATACTCAACTAGAAATCTCAACTAGAAATACGTTTTCATCTGATTAGATTCTGCATTTTTGTTGTTTTGAACCACGTGGTTCTTTGTTTTTCCTTGACAGCACAAGCATAGAAACACATGGATGTAGGTGCTGAGTCTGGAAAAGGGGCAGAGTTCCATCCAGGAGGGCAGAGGAGGGAGGAAGGGGAGATAGTGACCCTGCAGTGCCTATAAAAGCACTTGAGCACCAGGTCTGTGGAGGGTGGGAGGTAGAAGAGATGGGTCTCAGATGAGAGCGTTCAAGAGGGAAGATGCTTGGGAAAGGGGGAACAAGGCCTACAAGGCAAAGAGCTGGGGGAGAGGGAGCTGAAGACCCGCATTCAAGGGAGAGTGATTTGGGGCCGTGCGGGAAGCTCAGGTGTCAGGGTCTGTGTGTCAGCCTTGCACTAGTTGCTGAAAAGGCAGCAGTGATGAATGAAGAAGACTCAGCCATTTCGGAGTTGTGCTGCAATAGGGGGATTTGGCAGGAAACCAAAAATAAACCTCCAGTGTTTCCAGGCCTGAAAAGAGAATAGTGCAGGTAGGAAATACGGGTTAGAAGAAAAAGACCAAAAGATTAACCAAAGTTTTAAGCTAAAACCTCAAACAGGAGAGGAGTCAGGAGAGAGAGGGATGAGGTACTTCCATGGGGTCACTGGGACAAAGGCCCAAGCAGGCAAATGATTGGCTGTGTTCAGGATCTAGGAAAAGGCCAGTTTGACTGGAGTGATGTGAAAGATGGTACACAGAGGCAGGGAGGGGACAGGTCAGAATGGCTCTGCCCTAACTGCCCGCAGGCCAGAGATGGGCTGGAAAGAGGCACATGTCCTAGTGACTGGCCTGACCGAAGAAGGAGGACGGTGCCTGTGGCCGCCAATCATGGGAGAGGGTTCCGGACATGCCTTACAGAGAGGCAGCTCAGTTCAGCCTCAGGCTCACTGTTCCACTCTCATAGGAGGATGGCATCCTTCTCCCTAACGGGTTCATGGTCCTTGGAGTTGGTTATCTGCGTAGGGGTGTAAGTCCTCTGAGCCCAGTGAAGGCAGGCACACTGAGTATTTATGACGCCCCAAAAGGAGAACGTGTACAAACAAGGTGAGCCACGCGCCCCTGAGCAGGGAAGTCTGGTCTGGAAGAGCTTCCGTCCTGCATGAAGGGCGGCCCTGGGGTGCCACTAAGACCCATCTCTCCTAATTCCCACTCTCCACAGTCCTGGTGCTCAAGTGCTTTTATAGGCACTCCAGGGTCCTTCTCTCCCTTTCCTCCCTCCTCTGCCCTCCTGGCTTATACTCTGCCCCTTTCCCAGACTCTGCACCTACATCCATGCATTTTCATGCTTGTGCTGTCAAGGAGAATCAAAGAACCACGTAGTTCAAAACAACAAAAATGCAGTATCTAACCTCACTTAGATTTTAATTCCCTTAGGCATTCTCTAAAAAAACTTATGAGACAGTACATAAAAGCAAGAATATTAATAATTCTAGCACTTGAGAAATCAGTTATTTTAATATATTTCTTTCCAGTTTTTTTTAAAAAGACATTCTGGGGTCCCTAAAGATAGTAAAGTGGGCAGGGCACTTACCTTGCACACCTGGTTTCAATCCTTGGCACCCTTTATGATCCCCCAGCACTGCAAAAATGATTCCTTCTTGCCAGAAGTAATAACCCCTGTGTACTGCCAGGTGTGGCCCCAAACTAAAATAGAGTAAATGACAGTCTTATTTTCCTGCAAAGCTATACAGAGTTAAGTATAAAAATTTAAGTTCTGAAGTTTTTATTTGGGAAGTGTCGGGGGTTATTCCTGACTCTGTGTCTTTTCTGGAAGTGCTCAGGAGACCTTAAAGCTGCAGGGTTTGAATCAGGGTTAGCCACATGTATGGCAAGAGTCAATGTCTATGAGTTGGGCCCAAAGTTCTGATTAAGTCATAGTGTGGGACAGCTTCTAAAGTTCAAAGGCCTGCGTGGCCTAACTTACACAATCTCCTAATATACTCATGATTCTCTTTTAAACAAATGATTTTGCCTGTTTTTGTTTTGCTTTGCTTTTAGGTGACACCCAACTGGACTCAGAGCTTATTCCTGACTGCACACAGAGCATTCCTGGGGGGCTCAGGGGACCTTATGGGATGCCAGGGATCAAACCCAGGTCAGCCATATGAAAGGCAAGTGTCTTATGCAATAGCTCTCCTGCCCCTAAGAATCAACTCTTCCAATGATTGCAAACTCCCAACACAATTACACTGATTTTATTATCATATATTAGCTAATGTAGTTTCAATAACAGCACTGATATCTTACCCTAAATGTGTGATATCTCTCTGCCTCTTCAGTTTTAGGTAAGACTGACTGCACATTCTTCCTCCAAGATAACTACCTATGAAGATAGATCTTAGAGAAGATCATAACTGTTAGTGCCTACTGCACATTATACCATACAATACTAGTTGTTTTCAAAGATTTCTGTCAAACTTCTGTTGGAATTTTATGAAATCAAAATTTTTTGTGTGCCCAAGACTACACTAGATGTCAAACCCTCTATATGATTCCGAATATATTTTAGATTTTAAGTATTTCCTTCATATGTGGTTGCACTATTGCATAAGACACTTGCACTAAATATGAAAAGGAGATCATCATAATCCTCTTTACACATGAGTTTGGAAATATGGTCTGGGAATTATGGGTCTTGTCTAGAATATGATGCCGATGCTTTGTCTAATATGAAAAAATTCCCACTAACATTTAGACAGGCATTGTGGGCATGCTTGTTTTGCTTTATTTAACCTATTTTATTGCCTGCTGTTGACATGGCATCATGTAATCACAAATCCAGGAAGGTGCATTTTCATCCATACAATAAAGCAGAAGTATGCATTTTTTCTTTTTAAAACATGTTTTTATTGAATAACCATGAGATACACCATCAGCGTAATCCCATCAACGGCCAAGGCTCAGAGACTATAAAATCCAGCTCCCGGAACCGCAGGACATCTTTTTATGACATCTTATTATCTCATTCCTACTTTGGACAAACTTGCAGGCTATTGAACGTAGCCTGCCCACAGGGCAGAGTCTAGCAAACTCCCCGTGGCGTACCAAATATGCCAAATACCAGTAACAATGATGGGTCTCATTCTCTTAAAGAGCCTTGAACATTATCTCAGGGCTAGGATGAAAGAGACGTTACTGGGG